TAAATACAAAACAAACAGGGTTGCACAGAGTGTAAAATGGCTACATTGAGAAGTTATTACAATGTCCACAAATAAGGTTATTTTCAGTTAAATAGTGGATGGTAGCTGATGATTTAATATACTGCAAAACTGTAAGCAAGGCAAAAATAGTTCTTTTGTCTTCTAACATCTTGGGTCAGTGTTGGAAATAAGCATTTTCACCTTCATATGTTATCTTTTGGATTTCTGTTCTTTTTGTCTGTATAAATAAAATCAATCTATCAACAGAAAAGTATGTGTGTCTTTTTTTAATGCAAGCAGAACAGTTGGATGTGCATCCGTCTTAATCTCAGTCCCTGTAACATCACAGCCCTGCAATGTAGCCTGAACCTATAAACTGTGACTTAAACCACACGTCAATTTGTGCTCTCGCTTTGTATGCAATATAGCCCGCTAGCTAATGCTAATTAGCAAGCTGCATGCAGATTTTAGACTCCTGCGAAGAAGCAGATGAATTAGAGCAGATTTCATTAAACTGGGTATCAGGGTTTTACTTCATAGTTCTTAACAGCTTTGCAAGCATTTTTTTTTACCTTTGTTACACAACTCTTTTGCACATGTAAGCATAAAGAGTGTGACATTTCAGTCTTTCTACATTTTGCAGGATCATCTCCACACCTCAATTACACCACAGCATCTCTCTCAGCTTCCTGAACACACCCCCAACCTCACAGGGACGCTGGAAGATGATAAATGCATGACATTAACAGTTTTAGCATTAATTTAAAAGGCAGGGATAATTTTATAGCCCTTTGTATCGTTATTAACAACATTTTACACAAATCTTGTAACTATTTAGTGGATAAAACGGATACAAAGCAAGGCTTTCCTGCCAAAAATACTAGTGTACACATATAAATCCAAGTGAAAAAGCTTTGAACATTTTAATGGACTAATGGTTTTTCATTCTGCCAGATTTTAGCACCCATGCAACCACACCAATCCTACACCGCCATCGTCACACCCTCCTCCTCTTTTCCCAAAACTAATCAGCTATGAAAGCATCCCCAAACTGAGAAGAGCTCCTGATGGAAGAGCAGCTGAGCGTGCCAGAGACGCACTCGGCAAATGAGCCAAACGAGCCAAACAAGCCAACCACCGGCAGTGACGGCATTGAGGAAAACAACCGAAGAAGACGACGACGAGGACTCGCCGTCATCCAACATTGCACTTTGTGATTGCTCACTGATACTCCTCCGAGCGAGGTGATCTTATGCTCGCTGTAATCATAGCCTGTTTTCCTAATGCTATTTCACTAAAACATTTATTCTAGGAGAGGGAGGTTTCTAAACAACAGCTGTTCCACCTCTGTCCTCTCAGATCTGCCAGGCTGAGGGGGGAGAGCGGGGGCAGAGGGGAGGGTTAAAAAAAAAAAAAAAAACGGGCCATGAAACTGAAGGAGTACGCACCCTTGATCCTTGATTTACTCACAGAGGGGTGAGGGGAGGACAGCAGCTCTAAAAATACCCCATAAGGAGAGAGGGAGAGAGAGGGAGATGGGGCGATGTGAGGGGAGGTTTGGGTGAGAGGGGGGCAGCAGAGAAGGAAGAGGAGAAGAAGTAAATGCTTGTTTTTGCTCGACTCACAACTGTAAAAAAAAAAAAAAAAAGCAACATTTTAAGATTCGGCATCCTAAAAATATACCTCCCTCGTGACCGAAAACTCACAAGGAAGCTGCGAGGAGGGTTTTTTTTTTTAAGGGGGTGGGGTGAGGGTGGGGGGCTGCTTCCTCTCTCTTCCCCATCATGCCTCCCATCCTCCCCCCTCCGTCCCTTTCATGAAAAAAAGATGTCACTAAAGACCCAAACAGCCGGAGGGGTTAACATGAAGGGGAAATGATCGGCAAAGCAGAGGGCAGAACAATGTCCTTCTTCTTTTTTTATTTTTTTTCAGCGGCTAATTCATGTCAGGACCAGTGGCCCAGATACTGGGGCTGACCGAAGGAGTCCACTATAGCAGCACCAGAGGCTACAGGCCACGGCCTCGCACAAACACACTCAGTTAGCGACTGTCAGCGCTGTCTGTCGGCCAGCAGCACGCCACAGTGCGAACTACAGTCTGAGGCAGACGAGGAGACGGAGAGACAAAGTGAAGCTCTCCAAAGATGACTCGTTCATTATTAATTAAACAAAGTGCAAAAAGAGTATTGTTCTGATGTTGACATAATTATCGGTTCCAATGTTATTTTCACACAGAGTAATTTTATGTTGACTTGTTCGATAGACTCTCATTCTCCATGACAAAATGACGCCATATTTGCAAAAATTCAAGCTAAAGATCTCCATATTAAACCTATATATACAGAAAGGTGGATACTCCCCCTGAACAGTGTGCACCAAGGCCCTGAGCTAAACTGCAATCTGCACATTGAACAACATCCTGGAGACACTTGAGGACGAACTGAAGAGCAATCCCACTTCCAGGATCGACAGGCACGCATTAGATACAGTAGATACAACAATGGTACAACTGCAATATGATTACTCAATTCAACTGACTAACTAAAGGGGCTGTGTATTGGCAAAAGCAGATACTAGTGATGGACAATCATGGCAACAGATAAATTAATTGACCCAAAGGCCCTCAGCAGGTGTTCTTTAATGCAGTGGTGTTGGTCTTCAGTGCACAGCTCACCCCACAGATATTATACGTACAACTAGAGCTGCAACAATAAATCAATTAGTTGTCAGCTATTACACCACCACCAACTGTTTTGATAATCAATTATTCATTTTTTTGTCCAAATTCTCTGATTTCAACTTCTCAAATGTGAGTATTTTCTGGTTTCTTTGGTCGTCTGTGACAGCAAACTGAATATCTTTGGGTTGTGGAGAAAATAAGACATCTGAGGTTGTACCCAGGGTTTTTTCCCCATTTTCTGGATCAAACGACTAATCAATGAATCATGAAAAAGATCATTAGTTGCAACCCTTTAAACAAGCAGTTCAAACAACCAGTGAAAACTTTATGAGTTTGTCTGGAGTAGATTAAAAAACATTAAGTGTGATGACATTTTTAAAATGCTTTGACCTTGACAGCCTCATCAAAAGGAGCTGCTGAACACTGATACCCTCCTTCCTTTGTGCCCCCCTCACATCCACACACACACACACACACGCAGACACACACACACTCCTGCACCCCCTCCCAGGCGGATAGTGGAAAATACTGACCCCACACACGCCGAGTGAGACAATGACCCAATAACGGATAGAGCGTGAACCTGAGAGGCGGCGAGGTAAAGGCATCCCCCGGCCCAGATTGACCGGGGATCTTCACTTGTTTGAGTAGTTGGTGACACTGATATCCACCGCCTGTGTCACACACAACTTAGTGGTAACCGTATCCGCCCGCAGGGCCCCAACTTACTACTTCCATCTTCCCCTCCGCTGACAGCTGACCATGGGGAGTGATGAATGGAGAGGTCACGGAGCCAGCCGAACACACAAAGCACCCGATATGTACGATATGTATGAATCTGACATGAGCACACAGACAGGGTTTCTGCTTTTTCACAGCAAGTATGTCTGGAATGAGCTGAATGAATGAACGTGTTTTATATCCATATGTTCACTGATTCCCAACACTGGGGGTTTTCTAAATCCTTAAATTGGAGAAGCTAGAACCAGGGGTTTTGGGGTAAAGTGCATGCAGTGAGATTATTTTAGTATGTTTCCAATAAAAATGAACTTAATTCAAGATATTTTCTCCAAAAATGAGTGTCTGTATCTGGAAACAACAACACATTTAGATCGACTGCTGCAGGGCAATCAAGAAAAATGAGAAAAGGGTAAAAAATCCTTTAAGCAAGCTTCTTCAATCTCAAAATACTTTAAAATCTCACTTTTACAACTCAATAAAAGTTTAAAATTGCTTGGTAAGATGGAAGTTCTCGCAATGGGACTGATTTAAGTAAATTAAACTACTTTTCTATTGATTGATTAGTTGGTTAAAGCACTATCACTTCAGCACAAGCCAATATTCTCATGATCAATTTCTACTTCCATTATGTCCATCACTCTTTCATGACTCATGATGACTGAGGGCTCTTATTTTGACAGCTCACTCAGCTGTTGTGGGAATCAAACCTGTGGCGTTTCCTCCACAGGACGTCACTCTCGCCATTAAAGCTCCCTGATACAGATCTCTGAGTGTAACAGCGGCTCCTTTAGCCCAACAGAAGCTTTCATAAAGCTCTGATTGCCAGCGCCGTTCCTGTTTCCCACGCTGGCTCTCCAAATAAGGCGCGGGAGCAGGTTTTGATTGGCTCCTCCGCTCTGTTTAGATTAGATAATAAGTTACCTGCCACTTCTTAATCAACACTGGCTTGGAAATCCTTATTTTCCACCCTTCAAACACTGCGCCCCCCTCTCCACACACTGTAACTGAAGCCACACAAACAGCGGCTCGTTTGGTAACTCATCAAACCGAGACACAACCGCACCGCCGCTGTGCGTAAAAGGCATGCGTCATGCGCGCTCGGGGTTCTCGCTCCATCAGAAACACGCACACATTGAGTGAAAAAAGCTCCAATAGAGGAATGTGTGGTCCCTAAAGAGATGTTTGGTGATGTTGAGACGCTAAAAGTTCACAGAGGGAAGAATGAGCGGCACGCAGACTCTCAGACAGCAACGAGAGACGCTGCAGAAAACGGTGCCAAAATGTGCCAAATTACACTTTGTACAAGCTGGAATGACTGATTATGTTTGCTTCATGATTCACCACCAAAACATCCAGACTCCCTTTTATAATTCTACATTTTTGGACACAAGCTCGTGTTTTATTATCTTTGGTCACAGCCTGAGTTCTGATGATACATCCAGGTGAATATTTTGAAACTTTTACGCAAACTTTCCTCAGAAATCCAACTTTTAACAACAGCAAGCCATGGAATTTCTACGTATTTTTATACAAAACTGTCAAGTCTCGACCTACACAAAGCGACACCGGGATCCACTTACCGGCCACGCGAACTGGAAGGGAATGATGACCTTCCCGGCATCGTTGTTCCGGTTCTGTCCGGTTTTCTGGCCGCCCTTGAACTGAAAAGTATTTCCACCGATAACTTTAGTAGTTTCCGAGCCGTAGGTGCACGATCCAGTGGTCATGACCTCCGCTTGGTATTCCTTTAAACACACTTTGAAGTAGGTGTCGCACTCGTCCGCGCCGCAGTGGCCCTCCGCCGCGCTCTTCTCTGCGTCGCAGCAGTCGCCGTTCTGGAGCTGACCTTTGGGGTTTTCCACCGAAATCAACTGCAGCTCGAAGTAACCCGTGGACTGAGACACCTGAGGGGAGCATGAGAGGGTGGAAAGGGTTGAAAAGGGTCTGCAAGAGGTGGTAATATTGTCAATCTTTCAACCTTTAAAAGGTCATTAAGATCTCAGTTTTATCCAAAGGCGATTAAACTCGTGTCTGTCAGTGTCTAATGCAGGTTATTAAAGTGTTTAAATGGTTATGTGTCAAATGGCAACAACGACCTGCTCAAGAAAACGTCACTTTATTCATCGAAAGTAAATTTAAATATTACATTTCTGTTGGAATCAGGTGAAGATTTGCACAGATTTGAGGAGAAAGCAACAACCTGCGCGTATTTTCTGCACTACACTCACTCTGCAGCAACACTTCTGTACATTTTGGCACAGCTGAACTTCAGGGCTGGATAACGCGACCTAGCACTCCAATTTGGCTCACTCTGCAGACTGCAGCCGATCACTACAAGAAGTCCACCTTAACAAGACCTGCAGATGAGTCCGAATCAGGGTTTTCCTCCAAAAAACGTGGAAACATCGTTCAAAGAGCTGAAATACTTAAGATTTGGTTGCAGTCTGACTCCTGGGACTTGTTCTAGGTTAGAAATGTCCAAATAGGTGAAGTTGCAAACATGTGAAGCTATTCCAACCAAACTATTTTGCTCAAAAGCCTAAAACACCAATTAACGCACTCAGACCTGGAGCAGAGCCTCCGGTGCTCGAACTGTTTGGTTAAAGACAAACTTAAAACAGAACTTTCAGCTTTATATCACTAAGAGGCAGCTGATTAAAGCATTATCACACAAACACACAGCCCATGAAACAGCAGATGTTTTTTTTAAAAGAAGCCTGTAAACTTAATTTATCTCCGAGAAGGAAGCGCACATTTAGAAATTCCGACATCACATGATTCAACAGTCGAGAAGGCAATTCAATTAAGGCTGGAATTTAACCCCCTCCAAAAAAAGAAGAAGCAAACTTCCAGTGTGATTGATCAGTTGGAGCAGCTTTACAAACACGCTCTCCGTTTGCAGATGAGCAGAATAAAGTTCTCACCTCAGCGCACAGCGTCAGGAGAAGACACACTAGTGAGAAGCGGTGCACTTTCCCTAGATTATTCCACATGTCTCCGGCTGCTCAGTGTTGGTTACCATTAGGGAAATAAAAACATGTATGTCTCAGTCAGTCAAAATAATGATGAAGAATAAGAAAGCAGTATCCGCCTCCTCCTGGTGTCCGAGGCATGCACGGCGCTGGCTGCTCCCCGGGATGCCTGCGGCTCTGGAGGAGGAAAGGCGCACCGCTGCTGCTGCTGCTGCTGCTGCTGTTTGGTCCACGGACGCACAACAAGACGCGCGAACTCCACTTCCCTCCGCCGCTCGACGCACTATACAGCAGAGAAGGGGAGCTGCGGTGCGTCTCTGTTGCCCAAAGCCGGAGTCGGGCGCGCCCCCCCGATGATTGGCAGCCGCGTGGGGCAATCAGAGGCTGCCTGGGTGGACCGTTTGTCAGCTGAGAGCCAATCAGAGAGAGGGGTGGGAGGAGGAGTGAGGGGAGGACCGCTGATGGATTTATTATGGAACTTTTCTCACACAGAAGCTTGGATTTGGATTTTGTAAAAAATACTAACCTCTTAAAATGGAATTTTATTGTGACTGTGTGTCTCTCTACATTGAAATAAAACGTTTTTACTCAATAATCCGAATCAAAATATGTTTCAGTTGCAAGTTTCATGCAGAATTGTAATTTATGAGATGAATGTAAACACAATAGAACAAAACCGCAGTTTGCGCCGTAAATCTAAGTCATAAATAATGAGTGAGAGCATGCAGAGTGCAGGACATGGTGCGTTCAGGACACCTGAGCTGCTCCCCACTGACCTGCAGGCAGAGGAAACACGGCTGTTAGCGCCCTCTACTGACCGCCCAGCAGCAGCCACATACACCGCAGGGGTTAAAGGAATGTGATCAGAGGGGGAAGTACACTGAGATAACAAATACTGTATTATTATTTTAACTTTTCATCCCACTTTATCTATCTATCCATCTGTCTATCCATCTATCCATCCATCCATCCATCTATCCATCTGTTCCACTAATACTGTACTTTTATTGAAATAAAATACACATGGACTTTACTGGGTTTGGAGTATTTGTCCACAGGTTTGGGGAGTAACAGATTACATAATCAGGATGCAAAAAAAATGTAATTCATTACAGTTACAGAAAAAAGTAACTGAAACTAATCAAGTTATGTTATTTTAATATTGTGATACTTTGATTATATTACTGACTACAGTTTTTTCCAGGTAATTAGTAATTATATCAGATTACACTTTTAAAGTAACTCTCCCAACCCCAAAACCTTTGATTTTAATCATTGTCAATCTGAATTTTGGGGAGAGGGGACACAATTACCAAACAGAAAAGTAATATCACTAGCAGTGTAACTAATTACTGTTGGCAGGGAGTAATTAGTAAAGTAATAATATAATATAATTTACACAATACAATAATAAATGACATTTTTCACTGGACACAAGTTAAGAACATCTGAACAACGACTGTGAAATATTTAAAAAGCAATAATGTGAATACTTTCTGTTTATTGTTGTTATTTATGCTTTTACACTCAGACCTTTACGGCATCTAACCACAACAGAAATCCTGTGACTTTATTGTGTTATCCTTGATGTTTTAACTGTGCATGTACACTGAGGCTGTAACTGGCGAGCTCACAGCGTGTTCCATGTAAGAGGTTTTTAATGAGTACAGAGAGTACAAGCAGCTAACGATGTTCTCATGTTGATTTGAAGAGCTCATCAGTTTAATTATGATAACCTGCATTATGAGCCGTTAAACCAGCAGGTAAAAGAACAAAAGAAATATTCAAAATACATAAATGCATGTTGCAGTGTTCTTCAGGTATTGTTTTTGCAATGGAATTGTGGGAGAAATTGCAAAAGTAGTTGTATTTTTTCTGTATAATTCAGGTGTTTCAGGTATCTTGAGGTCAGACGTCAAGGGATCCCTTTGAAAATGGCAATGCCAGTTTTTACATCGCCAACTTTGGAGCGTTATTTAGCCACCTTCCTGCTAACATCCTAAACAAAACACAAATGTGTAGAAACATTTTAATTCAACATAAATGTAGTGGAGAGGTTTGAGTCAATAGAGTGTTTGTATGTAAAAGTGTCTCATGTTACTGTTATTGAATGTGCATGGAGTAAGTACGACTGTAAATACGTACCACGGCAACGTGATCGGAGTGGTCCGTTGCGGGCCCCGGACTGCGGCGGGCCCCTATGCAATTGCATCACCTGTATATCCTTTAGATGTGGATCCTGGAGGACGTTGAGCAACTTCAGGTGTTGCCAGATGGGTAGAACCTGAGCCACACAACTTCCTCTCAACCGTGGAGATCTGAAAGTGATACAATAAGTGAAATATATTAAAATCAGGGAGTGATTTTATTAAAAGATAAAGGTCAGAGTTATTCATGGAGCTTGGGTTTGAAAAAACAAGGTTTTCATCAGAATCAGAATCTGCCTGACAGATGAGCAACTTTTTAATAACCGTCGCCAGAACTTTAATCACTGCTGACTAGCCCGAACTCTGCCTTGTTTATTAAGTTGTATTTTTGGAATTGGTACCATATGGCAAATCAAATCAAACTGAAATTAAAAGGGAGTTGGAAGACACCTGCGAGTCGCTCTGCACAAAGGTGCTCTGTCCGCACAGAGCCTGGAGCCTTTCTTTTATTTACACTCTTAATGTGGGAAAACACATAACAATGTCAAAATCCCAAAGAAGTCAGCCATTGTTTTTCTTCTAAGGAATTACGTTCAATTGGCAAGTTTCTGCAAAATATAATCCAAATTTGAGGTCATCTCTGAAAACAATTACATCCGCTGTGGTCGGCTTCAGATTACCCTCACAGTGGAGTCCAACGGAGAAAATATTTCACAGCAAATTCAACATATTAACCTGTCTGCAGCTCCCTGATGGCCGCGGGTTTTAAGATGACTAATCGCAACATTCCCATCTTGCTCCTCTCATTTCCTGTCATCTTTCTCTGTCTCCTGCCTCTAATAAAGGCACAAAATACACCCAAAAAAGACTTTCTGTCTCATGCTGCAGTTTAATGCACTTCTGCTCTCTTTGTTGGTTTGCTTGGTATGTTCCTAACACACATTTTATATAAAATATTCCTAAATACACAACTTCTGTTCATTGCTACTACTATTAGCTGTTTAACCGTTGCTACATACAATGCATTCACTCAAAAGTTTGTATTTAGCCATATTATGGCAAGATTATGATGGTATGGAAAGCACTTCATACAGGTGGACGACAACAAAGTGATTTCTCCTGCAGGACTGATTCAACAAGTTTCTATGGACTTTTTTGTCTATGGACTACTCTGTTTCACTGGTGACATCATATTAATGGACAAGTATATAGGTTTTAGTGGTCTTTAGCGGTGAGATTGCAACCCACTGAATACTACTCGCCTTCCACGCGGGTAGAACTAGTTTTAGCACGCCAACATTAGCAATGATATCGAAGTTGACATTCCTACAGCCATTGTGCATGGCTGACATAGCGCTGAATGTTCAAATAAGTTATTAATCCGAAATGTTTTGCAGTATCAGTCTTCCTGAGTTGTGTTTTTCAGGATTTATTTTGGCCTTTTTTCATGTTTCAGACCATTTCAATTTCAAGCCTCCTTACAGGCATGAATCCCCTGTCAGTGTGTTACTTCCAGCACGCAGAGAAGATTTCCTGTTGCTTACATATTCGACACACCAGGCTTTCATTTGGGCAAACGGCGGCGAACCTGCACCGTCTCAGATGGCGGGCAGGGGAGGGGGGGTCAGGTCTAATGAGACAGCTGTTTCAGTACTGATCTTCCTGCTTCAGCTCGTGTGGACAGTAGATCGGTTCTGCAGGGCTGGTTGGTCAGCGGCTGCAGGACGGAGTCAGACAGGTGGCCTCTGACACCCTGCAGCAGATGTTTCCTCCCAGGGAAGCAGGTGCAAACACACACACACACACACACACACACACAGACACAAACGTCTTGTGTTCTCTCTTTACGACGGCTCTTATCAGCAGTGATAAGGAGTAAGGGAAACGCCACTCAGACAGATAAACTGGAGAAGTAATGAGGTTAATTAGCGGCATAAAACTTTTTGGACTGACTGCAGCAGAGAATCAATGGTCACTCCTCAGTGTAACAGTTCAGTTAGACCAACCTGCATATGATTTGTATGAAGGCGGTTCTAACTTTATGAGTACTGCACAATTTATTCACAGAAGGTTCAGTTACTTTTGCAGAGCAAATATCAGCTTTGGAGACTTAAAATCTATATTTGATATAAGATGATCTGATAAAATAACAATAATATCATTTTTTCTTCCCTTTCGTTTCATTTGTTTGTTCCTTAAACGTACGCTAATTAAATGTTCTGCCACTAGAGGGTCTATCACATCAAAGCAATAACAAAACAGTAGTTTGGTGACGTTGGGACAGTCTGTACATTAGATGGGCCGACACAATCGCTAAAGTGCGCTTTGGTAAACAACCAGTACCTGCACGTCGTTCTAATGGAATAACTGGTAGATGGTTCCCTCTCACTGGCGATATATATTCTAGCCAGCTAATTTATTTCCCATTTAATGTAGTTTACACCATTTTACCAGTGCTTACAGAGATTGGTGTAAGCAAACGTTTTGCTATACATGAAAGTTTGCTTTTACACGAATCTGACATTCCGCCATCTAGCGGTGCCGTCGCCATTACTGCAGTGGCAGTGACTCTGACTGCAGCATGGGTAGTTGGACTGATGATGTTAGGCAGTGGCCCCCAGCGACTAATAAAGGTACCTTATATGGATGGAGAGCTCAGCTTTATTCAGATTTGACATATTAAAGAGATGTTTTTTTACGATAATGTTTGACCATCTGCTGCATTTCAAGTGATGTACTGTGTAAAATACTGTACTAACTTGCATATATTAAAAGTTTCATTTTATAGTCACAGACTAGTTATATTAGTAAAAAAAATTCTCTTGGCATGCAAACACTTTCAGTTTCTTTCTGATGTCCTAGATGTCTTTATAAAAAGTGACGTTATAGAAAGTAAAGGGAAAAATATGAAGTTGTACACTTCCTAGGACAGCACGCATTCAAAACAGATGCATACTGTAGGGAGACACAGTTTCAGTCTTAAACAAAATCAGTGCTTTGGCCCAAACTGTCTTTGGAAAAGGATTATCACACTGTGACCTACAGCGCATGTTGACTTCTGTTTTAGAGATGGAAAGTAAAAAAAAAAACCCCTGTTTTCATGTTGGGCAGCTGAATGTCTGAAGGATTAAGAAATGCAGCAGGAGATAAAGTCCCATCTCACATTGCTGGGGCCTCTAATGCGGAACAAAGACTAAACAAGCTACCTGCTGAAGTCTACACATACTGATCTGATACGTCCTGCAGTGCAGATATGATGCTGCTGTTTACGAGCACTACAGCACATTAAATAACACTCCGGTTGTCATCCACAAGTGTTTCCCTTAAAAGATATGACATTTTGTAGAACATTGTTATAATAATAATAATTATAAGGTTATTCATAAAAATAAAAATGAATTCAGACTATAAATGTGTCCACAGAGCTCAAATTTAGGCTTCTGTTTTGCAGTTGTTCGTCATTAACCCATAGCATTGCCCCTATATACAGTTACACAGTTATATTTACTGCATTGATTTATGCGGGGATGTCTTCCATTGCGTGTATGTCCTGCACTACTTTACAAGCTCAGGTCTGCCTCTGCACCGATCCCACTGATACAAATTCCTGCACATTAATCACACCTGTGATTAAAGTAATTGTGCCTCTGATGACTGCATTTTACTGAGTGGACATGAAATATTCAGACTTATCCCTCTGTCATTGTTAGAAGTCCTGAGTCAGCCCTACAGGTGAGTACAGCGTGTGCCTACCTGCACAGGAGGAGTCACTCGTTTTTTACTCCCTTTCACTTGTTATTGCTCAATTCTGCTTGATCTGATCATTTCACTTGCATTCCTTTCCTGTTCCCAAACTGCAAACACATTTCCTTATGCAATAATTAGTGAATCAATAGGTTTGTCTACAGCAAACACATATTTGCATTTTGAAGAACAACAACTTTTAGTGGACACACTTTGCATCAAACTCTGTGAATTAAGGATTTATTTCAGCCAAAATAGTTTAAAGTGATAGTTGTTACAGTGGAAAGACTAACAAAAGTTTTATTTTGCTTCTGTCTGGTTAAACAGAACACCTGTATCTGTAGGGATCCTTTCCATAATGCTGTCAGACACTGAGAATAACAGTCTGAGCCTGTCAGTGGCAGAAACAATGTTGGCTTACATTGCAGATCTGTTCACAAATATAATTCAACATTGGACAGACTAACAAAGATGGTTTTATTTTGTGTCCGTCCCATTGTTTTGGTCTGAGATGCTGATGCTCTAGTCTCACACCATATAACCTTTAATAATAAAATAATAGTTGTAGCCATATAAATTCTCTTCCATTATGATCACGAACACAAAACAATAATGGTGGTTTTACTTTGTGTTCTATATTGCTATATGCGTTACATATTAAATAAAATTAATTTAATACAAATATTTCTGTCTGAACCTTTTATTTAGGTGTAAGGAATAGTTATATAAAAAGTAAAATGTGCATTATAATAAGGGCAGAAATTATATATGCTTAACTAATGTCTGACTCATGATGGATTCATGCAGGATGTCAGGAGTTCCCGTTGCTCACCATTAACAAATTATCACTGACTTTATGTGATTAGTTCATCAGTTAAGTAATGTTAATTCCCAGTTACCTCATACATTTATTGATATGCTTCATATTTCTTTCTGCTTTCAGAGGCTGAGCAAACACATGGGTCTGAAATAAAGTTTATATAACTGGATTTCAGCTAATTTGGTCTTTTTTTTTTATTTCTGGAACAAAAACAAAAGTCTAAGGAACTCGAAGTTGTTTAATATCTGACAGAAAATAGTGAAAAAAACCCGACTGCGGATGTGTGTAAGACCTAGCCATAAAAAAATAAAGCCCCTTTTTTGATCCTCTGCACACAAGAAGAGACAAGAGCGTCTTTGACTTCCCTTTGTTGTGCTATAAATCTCTTCCACTTCCTCAAGCGTATCTGCTAATATTACAGAATCTAACACAAACATACAGCTCAGATTCTGAAAGCTCTGCTGATGACTCACTCATAGCAGCAAAACCCATATCACCTTCTCAGACCGGGTATCAGAGGGTTCTGACCTCTTTCTCTTTCTTCTCGGGAGCTTCTGTTTTTCAAGGGTCTCGTTGAAAATCAAAGACTAATGTGTTTTCAGGAAGGCATGTGGCCAAAAACACAATCGCTTTCACCTTCACCCACAGCTCCTGCACACAATGTTGAGTGCAACGGCACACAAACAGGCCGAGGGTTGCGAGAGCTGCCATAGAAACGTTTACAAGTCCCGTCCTGAAGAATGCAAACAGAACTGAGTGGAGTTCTTATCTGACAAAAGAGTAAACTTTAGACAGTCTTGTTGCGGCTTGCCTGTGTGGTCTCTCCACTACAATATGGCGCACTGGAGGATCATTTTCTCGTGATGGATGATTGTCTCAGCTTTGCAACCCTTGTATAACCCAGCAACTTGAATAAAAATGCATTCTTGTTTACAGGAACAGTTCGGGAGGGGGGCAGTTGCACTCACTCGATGCCTCGCTCAGGGGTGTGTGAAGCTGGTGATGATGCAGATCAGGGAGTGGAGAGAGATTCACTGATTCACTCTCAAGTTCCCAGCAGGGATTTTAATATGTGATGCTTAGTTCCCAGCGACTAACCCTCCGACAGATCACTGTTGCTCATCGCAGGGCGGGGTCAAGGTCTGGGTCAAACAGTAGCTGGGAGCTGGTTTTGGAGAAGCAGGCAGGAGTCCTCAGGTTGCGTCAGGTGACTTATCAGGCAGTCACCCTCAGATGTGGATCAGCGTCTGGAAGCAAAGCTCCAGCAGTCCTGAATGTTGTCAGACTTTGAGGGAAATAAAAACAAAGAAAAAAAGGGGAATGCTATCTGCTCCGTCTGTGGTGCGTTCATGTGTTGGTGCAAACCTCGGAAAGCTTGGCTGCTGAAAGGCTTTACACTCACAAGATACACAGAAAATCCAACCAGGAAAACAAACCTTGTCAGCTTTAAATGATTCACATGATGATATGAATTATGTAGCGTGTGATCATCAGCGTCCTGTCGATAGACCTTTTTCACAGCAGCCATTCTGACATGAGATAGTCGGGTACACACAGCTGCTACCAGTGATAGTAATGAAGGTTCTGTTCCATGCAGGTCAAACAGAACATGGTATCATCCTCTCTTTCTCTTCCCCTGTTCCTTTCACTCTTTATCAGTTAGAGGCAATATATACACACATATTTATTTTTTTTGCATGTGACTAATCAGAGGATTGTTGCAACACGGACCTTTTCTCTTGTAACACAGGGAGATACTTAGCGGTGCACTGTTGCATAATGCTAACTGTAGCTACTTATTAGCGGCTGCTGCTGCTAGGTAGTTAGCAGTCCTATTAGCTGACTTTACTCTTGGAGGTTCAAAGGACAGGGGGAGTTTAAACAGTAAATGTAGGAGCGGGGGACCCAGCAGGGAATAGTGTTAACAAGTGGGACCAGAATGAGCGACAGAACCGGATTGGGGCAGACCGAAAGAGGCTGGCTAATGTCCAGCGGCTCCGGCCGGGACTCTGACTCTAGGGATGAAGACAAGGCAGCGACAGGAGAGGGATGAAACAGAGGAAGAGGAGCCACTCTTCTGTTAACCTTATCCATGATCCATCGTATCGATCAGTCCACCAGCATTAGTTTCAGTGAAGTTGGAAGTCATTTATTCCGTGTGTTGAACAACCAGACTGTGTGATGTTACACTGTGTTGGAATAAATTAACTAAATGTTCAGTCTCCTTGCTGCTTGTTCTGACACATTCACAATCATTACCACTTTTTCCGTTATCATTTAACAGGAAGCTGTTCAAATATATATTTTTAACATGCTACGACCAGTCGACTATTGGCTTTATTAAACAACTACCAGTCGATTAGGAAGATCTTCAGTTTTGAGTGATTAAGGATCAGGATCAAGAAAGTAGAAACCTTGTTTGACCTCAGTCTGCACCTCCTCTCACCCCCGCTTTAAAAAGACCCACACCTTCAGAGGAAACTGTTTGATCACCTGACAGGTCGCTGACAGGCTGGAGGCCCATTCTCCACCTCTGCACATACCGATGAGGTAACACACACACACACACACACACACACACGCACACACACAGGTGTATCTCTGAGTCAACAGGCACTCCAAATCAAGCGCTGTTCACCACTTTCAACCTGACCTTCCTCCTGTGTGTTTGAATGACACACACCCACACGCACATACTTCCCCAGTTTATGTAGTCCTCATGGTGCAATAATCTTAAATATGTGTGACTTTACAGAATGGACTGATCCTCCAGCTGCAGTTTCATACCAGGGTTAAATTTGCCCTCTAGTCTGAAAGTGACAGTGTGAGCAGAAATAAATCACAATTAATATGACAAATTCAATCTGGAACATAGCGGTTCTGTGGAAAATCAATTCGCTTTTTATGTGATGTCAACGCTTCATTTGTCACAGTTCCATGCAGGCACTCAGGAAAACAAAGAGGAAGATGAAAGTGTTCAGTGTAGCGCTTTGGAGAGAACCAGAGGTCGGGCTCAGGTCGGGCTCGGACTGAATTTATGTTTTTAAATATATATTTAATATTTTATTAATAATGTACGCAACTGTAACTAATGAGTGAATTAGTTTTGATAATAATTTGCACTATATTATTTGCTATATCATAGTTTTGTGGAGGATTTGTAGTGATGGTTCAATGCAAACAAGGAACAAAATATCATCCGTCTGTCTTTTAAAGAATTAGTGTGTGACATTTAGGAGGATTTACGGGCAGAAATTTAACATAATATTCATATGTATGTTTTCATTAGTGTATAATCACCTGAAAATAAGAATCGTTGTGTTTTCGTTACCTTAGAATGAGAGGTTTTATCTACAGAGGATCCTCTTCTATGGAGTCTGGCATGTTTCTACAGTAGCCCAGAATGGTGCTTGGAAGTCTAGAGGTATTCAGTTGGTCGCAATCTGCAACTTCACTGTCACTAAATCCTACACATTGGTCCTGTACAGCAGAATAAAAGGTGTAGAGAATGCCGCTGCATAATTAGCTTTAGATTCAATTAAACCTGTCCTCAATCAGGGTGGGATTAGGACGAGGTGAAAGTGACTGCACTCTGGAAAGTTTGGTGTGATGATATGTTCAGATTGGTGTTTGGGGTGAATAAAAAAAAAAAAATCTAAGCTTGCATTATGTGTGGTCTTTGTGCTGGGATCAGTGTTGACATAAAGTTTTGTAGAGGCAAATTGTCCTATTTTGGAAGTGCCTTAAAGATGTTAAATTATTTTGACAGCAAGAAAAAAGCAAGCACAGCAATCAGATAGCACTTAAATCAAATAACTCAGAGTTTGGTCAGAAAGTCATAAAAAAAAAGCATCTCGAGCATCAATTTTCAGATTTGAATGGCTGGAATCATATTTTCATGATTTTGCAGTTGCTAGGCTAAATAGCTTCATGATTGGCTGTTGGTGGCCAATGAGAGAAAGAAAGCTTTAGCCATGGTAACAAGGAGCATTCATGTACCAGCCAAACTCGACTGATACACTACACTACACAGGAATTAAACACACTTCCACTGAGATACATATCATGTTGGTGCTGGTGTTCACAGATCACTTCTTTTTGATTTGCTTTCACAGAATAAATGCACAAAAATCACGGTTGAGATCAGATTTTACTTTGATATGATTTTAAATACAGATCTGGATACAGATACATATACTTGTATACCATTGGAGCTTTCCAGGTCCTTTTACAGTATGTTACAGTAAAATAAGACAAAATATTACTTTGATCTCTTCTGCTGAGTTATTATTATTATTCACTGTACATTTATAAAATGTGTCTGTTGTCATTTTAACCCATAATTAGGTTAGTTTCTGGCATCAATTATATATATAAACGGACTACTGGGTCAGCGAAGTGAAGCCAACGCGGCAGCTCCATTGGCTGCAATAACACACTGATACAATGCAGTCTTATGGAGAAATAATCCGACTTCTCAGTTGATTTATGAGCTCAGTAAACAGTTTCCTGATGAGTTTATGGTCTCAGTCTCTAGTTTCAGTCTTCTTCCATACAGCATGATGTTCATTTACTAACTGATGGTCCCATTCAGAGTAAAACAGACCATAAAGCAGGGTATGCTTTAGGGCGGGGCTACCTTGTGATTGACAGCTCATTCTCAGTGAGTCCGTCCAGCTCAACGCACCAAACTCAGATCAAACTGTCAAACTAGGCAATGCTGATCAGATATAGATCCAGATTCTGTTACTGAGTTGAATATTTTAGTGTACTGTTTATCTGGAATATGCAAGCCACCATTGTTTCCTGCACGAGAACTGCTTTCTGATATATATTTACAGGAGTTGTTTTTTAGCAGACTGAAGATTTTCTGGTGAGGTTGGAGATATCAAATTGAAACTGAAAAAGAGCCTAAAATGTAAAATAGAAATGTGTGAAATGGGGAGTGTGTCTTTGTGGTTTTCTAGTGAACAGCAATGCTATTCAGAATTCTGACACCTCTCCTGAAAACCACAAATATTTAACCTCAATTCAACCTCAAAAGCGAACACACACACACACACACACACACACACACACACACAAATCTCACAAACAAAAACATATAAAATTCATGAGACACATGTTCACACACACTCCAACATACCTTTGCACAAGCACATGACGCCACCTTTATCGACTGGCACACACCCACCCACACACACACACACACACACACACACCCCCACCCACCCACACACACATGACGCCACCTTTTCCGACCGGCACACACACACACACACACACACACACACACACACACACACACACACACACACACACACACACACACACATATAAACTTAACACAGACACCCACACAGGGCAGGTGGCAGGTGAGCAGGTGTTTGTTGGCGGGCGGATTCAGTTCCTCTGAGCTGAGGTCAGTGTGTGAGCAGCAGCAGGTGCAGCCACTCTAATCCAAAAGGTGTGTGTCTGATAACACTGGAGCCATGATGGTTTACTGCCTTTATCACCTGCAGCAAGCAGCACGACTGAAACCTTTACACCTGTCTGTTTGTCTGAGTCTATTTTTTTCTGAATGCAAAGCTATGCACTGAGGCTTGTCAGGGGTATTGATGTGTATAAGTTGTTCTGATC